TTTTCGGCTACGCCGAGTCGGCTTTATCGGGACTCGAGCTTGCAGCCTCTTGCCAGACTCATCTTGTCGACTTGGCCGACCTCGAAGGACACCGAACGTTCGAGCATATAATTGAACAGATCTGCCGACAAGAGGTCTTGATCCCAGGTCTGGAGGGGCGAGTGAACTGCTCGATGAGCCAATGAGGCGCCGGAATCGGACTCAACTTCGGCCAGACAGAAGGGGCGTGTGCTCAAATCACAAATGGATGGTCAGTCTGCGTCGAGGTGAATGCCATTGCCTGTAGCCCGGACGACTGTTTCTCAGGCCGGGCTGGGGTTGTTGCGTGGGAACGCCTAATTAGCTCAGCCTCCACTCCATTTCCCTCCATCACAAACAGGCCCTCGGGCCTGCACTTGTACCAGACTCGGCCGGAATGACCGATTTCTGGAGGTTCCCGCGAGCCGAGCTCAACAGCCAGACACACAGACAGGTTGACATGGTGATTTCAGGGTGGGCAGTGAAAGGATGCAGCGATAAAATTTTATTTTTACACTTTCTTAATTAGACCAACCTTATTTGGGAGGGAATAAAATATATAAAGTAAATCAGCCATGCAAACATGTTGCGAAATGTTTATTGATAATCTCGCAGCCTACTCATTGGCAATATAAGTAGCCCCGTTGCGTGCACTAATAAATGTGGGTTTCCCACACCGAGAGTCGATGAGAGAGGCCGAGCTGAGCATAAAAGGGAAATGCGTGAATGTGCACAAAGCGATGTGGGAAAATTCTACAAACAACTCTCTACTCAACGTTTAGCCGAGACTTGCTGACTATTTGTAGGCAAATACAAATGGAATATAAAGCATTGGTTTGGCTAATTGTCCATTTCACTTCCGCCATCCCATGTCCGGTGCGTGGAGCACATGTCCACAATGAGCAGGTCTTCATGACCGGTTCACGTCTTGCTTGTCGGTCACCAAGTTCACACACTCGCACGTCTGTCCATATCTCCATCTTCTCTCTTGCTGCCCGTACATGTCGACTCTGCCAGCATTTGTCTCTCGGCCCCAGTCTTGACCGAGATGCTTCCGGACGTCGCAAGTGGGCACGAAAAGGGGCAGGCCCAGTCTGACGACAACTTTCTCCTCGTGGGCGAAGTTGGTGTGATGGAATTTGTACCTCGGCCTGTCTGTGAGGATGCAGACCGCCTCGAAGTGGCAGAGCGTTGCCAAGCTTGGTCACTTTTGATACCAACTTTTCCGCCGGTCGCCTCATGACTAACCGACATACCTGCGGACTGGTGAAATGGATGCACGATAAAAAAGTGGCCATGGCTACAAGTGTTCACTTGCAATTGGTATTGTGCATTATTGTATGTGGGCAATTGTCGAGTCATGTGACCAGCACTTTGGTAAAGTGTGATTCCCATGCGTGGATTCATGTAGTTCGCAAGACGGAGAGTCGAGATGCGAATACCATTTTGGAGGCAAGGCTATGTGTAATGATATGGAAACGTGAGGTCTAATCACATGATTGTGTGAAAATTAAAATACCAGTCCCTTCATTGTCTTAAACGAAATAGGTCGTCTCGAAGTCTAATTTTAAAAGAAAATTAATTGTGAATAGAAACCGGTTTTCGAAGAATAACTTTGTTAGTGTCAATTGAAATTTCATTCCTGGCAACAGTTCGTAATGAACAGATTCTTAAGCCGCCGTGACTCTCTTTGCTCTGAGCTGCCTGAGACACCAAATCTGAGTCTTGTTTCTTGAGGCACAAATATTTCACACAAATCTATTGAAACAAACCGTACAAGTGAGTATATTGGGCCTGAGCGCGTTTCGCAATTATTCGCAATTCTTGACTAATAACATTGTCAAGACTGTATTAACCCAAGTTTGTATGAGCTGGTGAAGGAGTGATGGTTGAATTGTCCCACATTCATGTGAATATTTCTTCCCTCTCCATTCCACTCAACTAAGCCCTGCCTAGAAGGGGTTGACAAATGTTGGTAGGGTCAAAATCCGCTGCAAGTTTCGAGGTCCCATTCAACTTGATTCTCGCAAATTGTTGCCATGCTCTATGGGCGGTTGAAGACTGGTTGAAACATCTACCATGTTTGATGTCAAGCCGAATATGGGTGCACAATTCACCTCAAAAGAAGGAGCTTACAGAGGCCTGTTTCGTTGCTGAGACTTCATTTTATGACGTGATTTTCTATTTTTGAGAAGAAGCTTTTGCAGCCAATTCGAGGGAGGATCGCAGCGTAGGGGAGGGAAAACTTGTGGACTGTGCCGAAAAGTCCTCGGCCCACCGTCCTGTGACATGTAAGAACATGTGATAAGCTTTCGTGTGTGCCATCCTAACGGACACTATCAGAGCGCGAATGCATACTTTGCGAAATAGGGGAGAACTTTTTCTCTTGGTTTAGTCTGTTTTGGGTCTATTTGGTAAAGTAGAACATTCTTTCTCGGATGATGTCTGTCACGGTGGCACAGACTCATCAGAGGACTCAATCTGCGCCACGCCTCCTTCGGTTTCATAATACATAACAAAATAGTTCTTCGACACCCAGTTTTCCTTTCACACCTTCCTTTTCCGTTGCTATTGTCATCACTTTCCGAGTCTTTCAGCCAATTCTAGGCCAATTGTATCACACCATAGATGCGAAATCTACAGAAATCCCACAACTTTATACGGTCGGACTACATCTGGTGACAAAAACACCAGCGGCCAATGCAACAACACCTGCTCGAAGGTTGCCATGCTCAACTCATCGAGTTCGTTTCTCGACCGTACTTCCCAACCAAATTCACGGACATGCAATCCTGACAGACCTAGGCCGTCCTGACCACGTAGTCGTCCTGGCGACTGGTCCGGGGCGCTGACTCAGAGCAATGCTGTCTCTGGCACTTTTGGGGCACAATTGGTCGAGAGGGGACTCCATAAACAGGATATGCTGCTCTCGTGTGAAAAAAAGAATTCCCACAATCGTGGAAATGTTTGCCGGCCGAGGGTAGGCATCTTATCTTATCTGTCCATGGCAGCCTCAAATCACAACTCGTTCCACTTGGGTCGTTTAGGGTGATTTAAGCACTGATAGCGGAGCTTTTCCCATAATCAGATCAAGTTGCATTTCACTTGGTGTCCTTAATGGCCGGCGGAGTTCGCTTCATCCTATAAATTGGCTGGTTGACACCCTCGACGGGACTCGAGCTCGCCTCGTGCGCATAAACTGACGACATGCCAGTCGCCCCTCCGCTGGGCAGCCAAGCGTGTCGGCAAGCCTAGTCAAGTCCATTTCACATTTTTTTTCAATATATGAGTGGATTTTTGATGAGGCAAACACGTATTTTTCCGTATACTCGACGATATTACTCATTTTCAGTATAAGTAGGCTTCGAATAAAACGATAATTTCCAAATAAGAGCCAGCTTTGTCCACGCAGAAATGAATAGGCCCCAGCATGACATTGCATTTAACGTGAATCTCGTGTCCAGACGGAGCGCCGCTTTTCCACTTTTTTGCTGCCAATTGGCGCCTAAAACGAAACTCGAGTTTGGCTCAGGCACAAGCACATCCCACTTTGCAAATCAGCCAAACTTGTGCAAATGCACAATTACACACAAATTTGTTGAGTGGACGTGTTTTTTTTGAAGGGATTCGAGCGTCAATCTCAACACTCGAACCTTCTTGTTGAAGCCATTTCCGAAGCTATCTCTTTCGACTCCTTTACCGCTCTCGGAAACAGCGTCCATCGGAATGTTCCAGTAGAGCCATTCGACTGCAAATCAAAAGGAATCAGCTGTCGTCTTCTGGTGAGATTGACCTTCCAATTATTTCACCAAACATCTTCACTTTGAATGGAAGCAGGACGTTGGATGATTAGAAAATAACCACATACTAAATTTCTACTCATCTTTATTCCACGTAGCATGACTACTAACATCTGTAGAAGTTTTCATTTTATTATTTGACCATTTGACAGATTAAATCAGCATTTCTTCTTACGAGCCAAACAACCAACT